GAAGCGACAATACTGCTTGTGAGGGCACGTGAGACTTCATTAAATTGGGCTCGTTTGATCTATAGTGACAGTACTGTTCCTATCACATGAATTTGAAAGGCTGGTATAAAAAGTACTGACATCTAAACTCCACTTGTAGACAGACGAAGGATCAAATGGGCAGTTCCTGACCCAGAACCTCTTATATCAAAGCAAGAAAGTGACACAAAAGCGAAGTTGCTCATTAGACCATAACATTTTCACACTGAAATATATTTTAGCCATAGTTAATACTCTGCCAAAGAAGCTGATTGGACATCATTCTGGAAAAGAACAACAACCCACAAACCCTCCTCTCCCAAACCTCTGTGACTCTCAATAATCGGAACCAGCTTTAGGCCTGCATGTAATTATAAAACATTCACTATTTATAAGAAAAGTACTAGCTCTATTGTGCTCACAGGAGATGATGTCTTTTCAGAAAAAAATCCTTCACATGTAAGCTCAGCTCAGCTGTTTCTAGGTATGGTGGGTTATATGCCATGCACCTCCCTGGATTTGTATAAATTTTAATAATTAATAGTTCTAGAATGTTCAAACCCAGATAGTTTATGTAAATACCACCCTTCTCTGAGTCCTAAATTATTAGGTCACACTTCAGTACCCCAGGATTTGAGATCCAGCCAAAGACCACAGAAATCTTTGCCTTCCCAAGAAACCAACAGAAACCTAACCCACACCTCCCAAAGCCTTGCAGGAAAAGCAAAGGTCAGGTACTCTCAACATGCAAACCCCCAAGAGCTACAGTCCCAATGTCTCCTATGCAGCTACAGCAGAAGACCCCATCTGCAGGGTTTCAAGGTTATGCATATTTTGTGTGCCTTTACACAATACATACCATCACATGAGCAACAAGCCATGTGGATAGTGTGGGGAAAAGGATAACGTGGGAGGCACTGGTGGGCTAGCAAAGTTCTCGCAGTATTTTCATGAATCTGCAGCTCCACCTGTCTTGGGAGAAACTGTTTTCAAAAATCCTTACGTTTCTAACTGTAGTGGCTGCAGAGAAACACTTGAAAACACAAGCCAAGCAAACCACGAAGGTCAAAATTCAGATGGAAAATGCCACCCGTCTTTTATCAGTCTTACTGAGCGCACAATTTTGAAGGTAACTCTGGTGATGACAGGTATGGTTTAAGTTGTTAACACCCCCAGCTCACTCCTTCAGGTTATTTCTCCCACATCCCCAGCCTCCCTACAGTACAAGCTACATAGCTCTTTCTTTGACTCTTCATCATTAGAATGAAAGTATAATATGTATTTGCAAAAATTACTCTTTTTTTGTTGTTGTTGTTTGGTTCAAACATAGAGCATCTAATATATCTGCTTTTGAGAGAAGTCAAGCATAAATGAGAAGGTATAGCCAGAAGACATGCCCTGGAGGCACGAGAGAGGGTGCTACCAGCACAAACCCTGTATTCGTGTGCCATAGGTACCCTCACGACTTTGAGTGGACTGGGTTTGGCAATACCGGAGAAGTGTGGCATGGCAATCTGCAGCGGACAGTTTATTGTATCAGTTATAAGACAATCAATTCCATTTGGAGCCAAGGAATCCCAGGCAGCCAGCACTATTAAATACTACCAAGTCTTTTTACAGTCCTGGACAAATTTTGGGCAAAGTAATGAACATATCTAGCTCAGGAAGGCAGACATGCCAACGAAATGGAACGCTGCAAATCCACGGGAACCAAGGAAACAGATGGTTCACTGGACTTGAGGTTTGTCACTGTACTTTGTTACTCCTCAAAAGCAACTAGAGACGTTCAAATCTTACAAACATGAACACAGCTGTCATTGGGGACAGCTGTTAAGACATTTTTGAGGTGGCAGAACTGGAGATAGGTCTGCTTACTAAGCAATCCCCAAATCCGCAGCCCACCACCCTCCCAAATAGTAACAAGCAAAGCGACTCCCTCGGCCTTTGGGCAGACACGAATGTGAGTGGGTCAGGACTTGCTGCAATGCCTGGACAACTGCCAGTTCATCGTCTTGGTGTTCCTCCTTGTGTGTTACGAATCTTATGTGAAAACAAACATGCAAAAAAAAGTAACTGGCTGGTGAGATTAAAAGAACTCAATGATCTAAAGCTGGAAATCTTTTTGGAAGACTATTTAATAACTGAAAACAGTGTGGATAGATGCCTTCAACTGTCTTTTCACTAAAAATGGTCAATACGTACTTTTGAAGTTTCTATTTCTTTTTTGTTTGTTTTGTAGAAAAGGAAACAGGCTTTAAAAAAATAAGAACAGTTTCACAAACTCTCAAAGGAAATGATAATTCTTCTTAAAGTATTCTTCTGAACAGTCTTGACAAGTGCTTAGAGATCCAGTAAAAAATCTCCCCAAATGTCAAATATTATGACTCACTGTGTCATTCTGAAGGCACCACTATCAAAATGTAGGAGAATTCTAGGCTAGGTACCAAACATAGCATCCAAAAAAATTTATCATTTTTCATGCAAAAACTTGGAACATTTAAGGATCCTTCCTGTTATTTTTCCCATCTATCACTCATTAGGGAGCTCACTTGGGAATGCCTTGCAACTAGAGCAGCCTCATCTCAGGAAGAAAATTCTTCTTGATACATTATTTCAGGCTCCACCGATGTTCACTAGATGTTGCGGAAAGCATGCCAGGGAAATAAAACACTTTCTGAAAAGCAAAACCCAAGGCACCAGCTACACAAAGACTTTCTCATATTTTATCCACTCAGAAAATATCTGGGCCAAAAAAATTTGCCCTCAGACCTGAGAGTGCAATATTCATTGGCCACTTTTATGTCAGTATCAGAGGAAAAATCTGATCCTCTTTTTTTGGAGTGACACAGGGCTACATCTCTGTGCAGCAATTAGAGGTCTAGTCCAAGTTTCTCATTGGATAGCTATGTGAACCTAAAAACAAACTGGACATTAATCTTAGGTCAACTGCTAGCAGCACTGATTTCTCTTTGTGAAAGGTATTTGATCATGTTAAAACAACAGAAAATTTCAGTGTAATGCTTTCCCAAATGTAGAAAACAATCCAACCTCCCCATTTTCCTCTCTCCTGTGTATTCTCAAATCAGAGCTCCAATTTGGGTACACAAAGGTTTCTGAAGTGCTTACATAAAAGACAGGAAAATTTCTTTCCTAATCAGTTAAGATTTCTTTTCTAATCAGTTAAGCAAAATTTTTAATCCCAAATAATATCTTTTGTTTCATCAAGGCGCACTTACTCTCTTTCATCAAAGTCGAAGAGAACAGATCAACATGCAATGCACCCCAGTGAAGAACAGGTTAAGACTATGTCAGATTTACAAGAGGAAAACCACTTATGCCCGCAGATCATACTTTTCATAGTAGCCAAAGGTATTAGGGTCAATAATGTTCTGCGGTCTGTAGAACTGAGGTATGATCCAGAGAGGGTACCTTTATAAAGATAGGCACATTCTCAGCTGTGTGGGCACTGCATTTCAAACTTCTTTAGGCTGGTGGTAATGTGCTGGTAATTAGTGCTTGTTCAGGAGAAGCAAGCATTACACAGATGAAGGAAGCAGTCTGATCTGCCGCAAAAAAGGCAACTTTCAGATTAGAACCAAGTTGTACTGACAGGTGGAACACTAACAGGTGGATCTCCCATTGCTGCTGTCTCATGCATTAAAAAAAGGAAGAAAAAAAAAAAGAGAAAAAAATCCCAAAACAATACAAAAGGTATTATGCCCCTCTGAAACTACCTCCCCTTGGCCTCTTCACCAGTGTTGCTTGTTGCTTTTCAAAAAAACCACAGAAAAACATTTTTTTTTTTGTCCCATGCAACATTTTCCTGCTCTTAATTTTTCAGCAAAATCATGAATTTTGTGGGGTTTTCCACATTCACTTTTCACAGGGCTCACTGCTTATGAAGAGCAGCCAAGAAACATGCTTAGGCTTTTCTGTATCCTTCCACGTCTCAGAACGAAGCCAAAACAACAATAGAGCACTAAAGATGACTTTTACACACAGTTTAATAATCATCTTTCTTTTTTTCCGTTCTGTGCTGTCATGAGAGCTATTTATTTCATGCCACATTAGACTTTTAAAACCAGGATCCAAGTTACACTATTTCTCCTTAATCGGTAAAAGAGAGCTTGGATGCAGTAAGAGTATTTTACTTACTCCTCTGTAAGTAAAACTGCAGTTCTGAAAAGACAATCTAGACCACCAATTTGCAACCAATGAGTTAGATGATTTTTCTTTTGTTTCATATGTCAGTTGGGTGATGCTTTCTTCTCTCATTCAGAGTAGTCATGAAATAATTGATAAAGCAACGTAGAAGATATTCTCATCCTTAAAGTGAGAGAAGCTTCTGCAGGGCCTGGAACGCTGAAAGCAAAAATGCTGTCAAGAATTTCACAATATTACTTGAGAAAAGCTTACAGTGAAGAAAGCCTGGCCTTTATCCGCAGAGCAAACTTTTACAGGCTGCACAGGGAGAAGTTATGAGTGGTTAAATAGTATGTTGCAATTTTCCAAACTTTGCCAGGTAAGTCAGAATGGAACTCTTCTCTTTACTGCTAATAAAGAATACTGTACTGTTTTTCTCATAAGAGATTACTCATTTTATATCTAATAACTTGTATCGGAAGAAATGTTTTTTGTATTGTGTTTTTCCCTTCTCTCTTTTCAGTTATTAAAACAAAGTCAGTGCCAATTGGAAATTTCAGGAGAACACAGAACCTAAAAATTGGTGGGTGGAACGGACATAGGATATTCCTCCGAATAATAGTGGAGATGTTGCCAAGAAAATAATTCAGT